CCGTCCCAGCTGGCTCGGCGCTGAGCTGGTGCATTTCACTGTAGCTGTTGGTGCTCCCCTGCAGTCAAAGCAAGCGATCATCCTGCTCTGAATCTTAGGTTTGGCAAGGTCAGAGCAGCATTGCTGGGTTTTCTGTTTGGGTGTTCTGGGGTTTTTTTAATCCTTACAAAAAGTTGAAACTGAATTGCCTAATGCTGGCTTGGCTTTTGAAACGCCCCTCGTCATGTGCTGTAAAACCTGCCCGAGATACAAGGTAGCCTTCAAAGGGTCACCACCCTCTTCCCAGCACTCGGGTCGGTGTCATTTTATTCATCGTTTTAATCGTCTCTCAGCATAAAGGTTTATACGGTTTTGCCTGAGCTATTCCAGTTAGCAGGGGGATTCTTGTGGTCTGTGTTTGCCGCGCCTGTGACGCGCTGGCAGTCTGGAAGCAGCCCCACGAGCCCACGACCACACTGGAGCGCCATGCGGGGAAACCCGCTTCTGTCCTCAGCTCCCTCTCGCTTTCACTGGCGCCAGCGCTCCGCCTCTGTAAAATGAGGTGAGCATTGCTGATTCAGGGCTTTCTAATGAGTTGTGGAGTCTGAAAGCACTCGCCATGCACTGCAGCCAGTTGGGTCTGCTTTTTTATGTCATGGTTTGCCTGACAAAATCCTGTCCCTGAGCATCTGCTATGGTGACATTTTAAACTTCGCCGCTTCATCCAGCCTAACAGCTTGTGAACCAGAAAGAAACCATCCCTTGAATTCAGTGCGATACTGCAGGTCAAAAGGAAAACGTGCTGCTGAAAGGCCACACGTGTGCTGCTGCGTCTGCTCCTGCTCTTCACAGTCATGTGCTTCCACAACCAGCCGCGGCACGTTATGTTTTGTAACACCTTACAGCTGGCTGCAAGGAGAGGAGAGGCCTCCGGAACATAAATGAAAGGTGCAGAATAAATGGGAAAGCAGACCAGTATTTCACCTTGGTGATTTAGATGTCCTGCTCCTCTGACACCTTGATCTTCCCACTCTGGGAGCTTGGAATGCTACACAAGGCATGGAGCGTCCTGGTGAGCCTGCGGGAGTGTGTATAAGACGTGTATTGACACGTGTCTCCCTTTCCAGGGTCCCTTCCACAATTTGCTTTGGACAAGGTGCCACCCGAGGATTTAAAGGACCAAGGAAGAAAGTCTGAAGGTCAGTGCACCGCAGGGAGGAGTCTGAAGGTCAGTGCACGGGACTGCAAGATGAGAAGGTGCTGGCTGCTGCCTCCCGCAAACACTAGCGACGGCACCACCGCCAGGCAGGGATATTTGCAGTTGCGTGGCAAGGTCCTGCTCCGTACCGGGAGGGCAGCAGGGTGGACACAAGGATTGTGTGGCAGCAGTTTGGGACACATCAGTGCCCTGGGAGGTACTTTGCTACAGCCCCTTCGTGTCTCTGTACCACCTCCCTTGGGCAGCATTTCAGAGGTGGCCTGAGCTTATGTTTGTCCTTCTGAGACACAATGATCTCTTTTCTCATCCCCTCTGAAATCAAACTACAAACAAATTCCTCTGCCTCTGTGCTGTGAGTTTTTGTATCTCATCAGTGCCACGACCGCTCTGCGCAGCAATGGCTTTCTAGATAGGTGGTCGCATCCTGCCTGAGCTTAGAAATGAGCTTAGAAATGGCAAATGCTGTTCTGAACCTCCAGGCGGCTGCAGGGATCGCACAGGCTTTATGAAAAACTTGCAGGGAACCGCTGCCAAAACTGTGGCAGGGAAAATGCCGCCCAAAACACACCGCGTTCCCTCTTCCTGTGGGAAGCCCTGCATCCCCCCCTGCCTCCTGGGGGGTGTCACGCTTCCCTGCCAGCCCTGCTTGTACAGGGGAGAATCAGAATCCAGAAGAGAGGTGTAGATTACAACAATTAGTTTAATTCTTTTAATTTAACTCTTTTTCTCAGAGTGTTTTTAGAAGCTCCTAGTGAGGACAGCCTTTGGGATCACACACAGGCGTGGGGCGGGTTGAGCTCCGCATCAGTTGCTCGCAGAAAAGAGTCTTGGACTGTGACGTGGAGGCGAGAGGAAATCAGCTGCTGGAGCTGAGGCGACGCAGGATTTTTTTTTTTATTTATTTTTTTTGCCTTGTGGGGGAAAAAATGGATGCAAGAAATTCCAAGACAAAAATCCGCTGACTGTACGGAAGCTGGAACCACTGACCAAAAGAAAACAGAACGAAAAGCATTGGTCCCTAATTCTGACCTTCTCCGTGTTGCTGAAGTCCGCTCTGCTCCCCAGCGCTTGCTCTGGAGCCCACACGAAAGGTTTGCCCGGGCGAGGAAAAGCATCGTGGTGCCTTGCGGCTGATTCCCATGGGGAGTTAAAATGGAGCGGCTTCCAACTAGGTGAATAAAGAGGAGGCCTTTTTACACAATTGCTTTGTAGAGAATTCAAATGCTGTTTTGAAGCTCGGGCAGAAGTAGATGTGAAGAATGAACTTCCCTTTTCTCCAAACACCCCCCAAATCAAGTTGAGATGGAAG